AATGTACATCAATTCGCTAGACTCGTAGAGTATGGGGAGCCGGAGGACTTGTGTGCCGCTCCCGGCTCCTGGTCCCAGGTCCTCTCACGCACACTCCCGCCAACATCTACCATCGTATCACTCGATTTACAGCCCATGACGCCCCTACCCGGTGTGACGACCCTACAAGCAGACATTACCCACCCATCCACGCTCCCGCTCTTGCTCCGGCATCTGGGCAACAAGCCTGCGGATTTAGTTATTTCCGACGGGGCACCCGACGTCACAGGGCTGCACGATTTGGACGAGTACATCCAGTCGCAACTGCTCCTCGCGGCACTGAACCTAGCGACCTGCGTGTTGAAACCCGGCGGGGGGTTTGTGGCCAAAATATTTAGAGGGAGGGATGTGGCTATTGTGTTTGCTCAGTTAAGATGCCTTTTTGATCGTGTCACTTGTGCGAAGCCACGCAGTTCGAGGGGGAGTAGCATTGAGGCTTTTGTGGTTTGCGAGGGGTACTCACCACCCGCGGGGTTCAAGCCTTCTTTGGAAGCGCCGCTAGGGCTAGGAACGGAGTTTCCAGAGAGTAGGAGGAGAGTATCCGTGGGGCTGAATGGGGGAGGAGGTAAAGAGGAGGAGCAGCTGGTAGACAGTGTCAAGGAAATCGAATTGGGGGAAATGGAGGGTGGTGAGGATGGCGACCGTGATACCCAAGAGGCAAGATATATCGCGCCTTTCATCGCTTGCGGGGACTTGAGCGAGTTCGATTCGGACGCTACGTACGCCCTACCAGAAGTAGATGAGTTTGGGCAGAAGTGGAAGAGCAGGGATCCAATACAACCTCCCACGGCCCCGCCGTACAAGACCGCCCTGGAGATGAGGCGACAATTAGGGGGTGGTGGTCTGTCCACTTCATGAAGTGGTTAATTTTTAGGGGACCTTGTGCTTAAACGCCAGTACCGGCATACAGAGCAGTGATTTTAATCTCCGAGAGGCTTCTGGAAGAGGGATTATACAAGAAATTTTCATGGTCCTATAGAACTACCAAAATGTGGCTAGATGGGCAATAGAGGGTGGTGTAATTTTTCGCTGCAGAAAGCTCCCCCTAATTTGCTTGTTAAAAGAGATTACTGTCTGACAATATATATATTATCTGTTCTATGGAAAGTCACAGCCATGGGGAAGCAGCTTCTGTACGGTTGTCCATTTCGCCGTTTTTCTAGATAATCGGATGAGCAGAACAGACCCGACCCCGCACCCCCAAGGTATGGACTCTCTCAGAGCTGAGAGTTGCCAGCAGCCAGAGCGGGTATTTGGAAAGGAGGGGATGGCGAAAGCGTCACTCTATAGTCCTGCCCCGACTCTTAAAAGAACACCCGATTCCCGCACTGGGTCCGAAATCGACAATATCCTGGAGTATGGTATGATAATCACTCCGCACGATCTTTCCCTCGGGGGTGACCAGCAGCCCACAATACCCCACAGTCAGGCTTCCTTTCTTCCCCTTGTGTTTAAAATGACATTAATCTTCCTTCGGCATCATCACCAATTTCTCGAGTGAAGTTGTCTGCACAGTACAACGGTCGTTCCGCAAAATCTAATAGTGATAATGATAAGAATTATTCGCTCCGTGTTCAGATACGTTAACGCTTCTCCTAATGTGCCGTACACAGCGATTCCCTGACTAGGCGTTCCGGGGGGGGGGGGGGGGGGGGGCGTGTAGGATACAGCATGCCTGCCGGCATTATATGCAACTGCACTGCTTCGGAAGAACAAATGGAGAGCGTAGTTCTTACCATACATACAAAGCTATATATAGCTTTCCATTTACTACTTTTCACGGCTGTATATCCGTACGACGGTAGGACAGACAAACAGAGGAACGCCTACAACAATGACAACAGCGGGACCTGTAGGATGTTAACTTAGCACAGTTTGATATGATTGTCAATAAATACCATAACCTAGTAAAAGTTATCCCCTTCCAAAAGATGACAAAGGTACCCTGCCTTGTTAATTATCATCAAGTACGATATGATGGACAAGCGTAGTCATGGATATCTCATTTTTCCCTCCCTCTTCCCGGCGCTGGGCGTCAATTGGGATCTCGGGGTTTCTATAATACGGTGGTCTATAGTACCTCTCGTTGTGATCTAGACTAACCGATTCACTCCCCGTCTGACCCATCGAACACGTGACTCTTGCACAGTTGCCGCCCGACCCGTCACGCAAACTCACGCAAAATAGGCAGGTAACTGTAACTTTAGAGGCACAGGGAAAAACAAAAGGATGGCTTGGGGAGTTGGAGTAGGGTACGGTACCGGTAGACTAAGCGGTGACTATGACACTTGATTTGATGCATTGTATTCTACGATCAGTGGATGACTGTGTTACAGTGCGGTGAGGTGTGGCGTAAGTTACCCTTGCGGAGCGGACTGGGGTGAACCGGGAGGGATGGATGGAGGGGCATAGGATACATGTGAGAGGGAGAGCAATCGGGAAGGAGTCGATTGGTGATAATGGATGGAGAGGGCATTTTATGTTCGGGTTTGCCAGAGTATCCTTAAATTTTGAAGGCGGTGGTGGTTGTGGTGGAAAAATGGAGAGGCTTTTGCTACATCTGCCCAATATAGACTATTTCTCTTTTCTTGTTGATGACGAGGAGGCTTGTGCTGGTGTGCTATGCGCTCTTTTCAGAATATGGTTCGGTATAATATAATACAGTCCTTAAGTGGAGGATACATGGCACTGCATTGTACTGTGCTGGTATTTGTAGGCATCAGCCCAGCCAGAAGGAGAGATCGCGATAATATTGCTGCACAGTACTGTACCAGCGAATTGGTACAGTACTTGTACTGTGCTCAATTGTCAGACTCTCTCAGTCGGCAGTGTGCCCGGGTAAAGGAGCTGGGCAATTCAGGCGGGAAAAAGGCGGTAATCCCCCAGGATGGCATTGTGCCTCTGCAGGCAACCAGAGCATGACAATGAGGTATCAATTTTTCGTCTCCTACCAAATTTAAACTAAGCAATTCGTCACCAAAAGTGCCCCCCCTCCCTCTTCAAGAAGCGCGAAAGTCAAAAAGTCATAACGCCCCATCTGAGGAAGAAACGCACAGCAGTTGAGCAGAAAACATTGGTATGATAGATCCGATATCGCGGTTGCCTAGAATGCGGCGACAACAGGGCTTTGAGCGTCGGGCACCTACCCACGCACCCAGAATCCGAAGCAGGAAGCCAAACCCGCAAAGCGTTTCCCATTAAAGCTCTAACAAGCATTCACCGCGCATCGGGGGTTTGGGCAAGCGAGGTGAGTTGCCATAACCAACCCAAACGCGGGTGCGCGTTCTGTTGGGCCCGTCAAGTTAACTCTATTGGTTGGTTGAGCTTTCGTCCGTACCATCTGTTGTCATATCACACAAAAATCGGCGCTTGAGCTAGTCACGGAAACTCACTCGTTTAATTTTCTGTTGTGTGCTGGGAAAGTCTGTTTGGGGCTCTCCTCTTGTGTGATAAAGATTTTGAAGTGTGTGTGTGGGGGGGGTTGATTCTGTTGCTTTTTGTGTTTTGTTGTTTGGTTGTTGGTTTGTGGGGTGAGGGTTGTTGGATGTGTTAGGATTGATGTGCTGGGAACTGTTGGTTTGTCGTATCGTATGTAGACTATCATAGTAAGGTAACGCATCTCAGTGGGGGAGGAATTGCCCATCTAGGCACTATGTAACTGTGTTTAGGGTATAATTGTGCTATGCCGCGGTGTTCGGGTATCGCTTACTATACGCCCCAATCTTTTGCGAGAGAGAGTCGCGCATGTAGACATTTTTGCTATCGTGCTACGCTTTGAGGGGGAGTATGAATATTCGCATTTGCGAATTTGTCCCTGGATTATCGTACTCGTGGCTGAAGAAATGGGGCTTCGATGGAAGCGCTGTTCTGAAACGTATTTGGTAAGCAGGCTAGAGCATCATGCAAACTCACTCGTTCGACCGGA